GTTGATGGAGATATAGACAGTGTTGCAGTGGAGGGGGTTGAAAATGAGTTGACGTCATTGCGAGATGACATATCAGATGTGGTACGCACAGTAGATCGTCGGATGCTTGTTGAAACACTTCTTAACAATCCCGCAGAAAACAGTGCAACGGCGGAGGTCACAGATGATGAAATCATTGGGTTTGTTCTTAATGGAATGACAGATACAGGCGAGAATGAAGATATAGAAGGTCAAACCCCTTCAAGTTTGCCTTCCCGTCGGGAGCAGCTGCGCATCCATGCTACTGCAAGGCTTAATATGGAGCAGTATGGAGGCTATGCTCACACTACAGGAGGTATTTCTCGTATTCAGCGCGAGATAAGGCGTGATCAGCAGGATAGCGCCATTCAGACGAAAATAACGTCCTTTTGGATCTAGGCTACACGTGTAAAATATTTGAAAAGTGTACCTCTTCGACGGATACACCGCTCACTATGAATATGACTAGATTCCACCGACCCCATTCCTATAGGGGGTTATACTGTAATACGTTTTGGGTAGCAATTTATGAGAGAGGTAACCAATTGAAAAATGGTCGCTAGATGGTGCCAGAATAATTCCAAAAATGTTTCAAGAAATATGGTATCAAATTTAAGAAAGAAGGATTTCAAAACTGTTTTAAAAAAGTTTTTCTTGCTATTTTTTTAAACATGACGTGTTAGTTCACGCTCGCGCAAAAATTAGGCGCGGCGGCCGTGAGTGGCGCCGATGAGGTGCACGTCGAGGTCGTGCGCGGAGGGGTAAAACGCTGATAGATTCCCCACCGTTGCTGTCCCAGTTCACCACAGGCGTGCGGGGTCGAGGCCGTGCGCCTGGCTGGGACAAATCTTCGGCCTGCTCTGCAGGGGCTTGCCGTGCCCCAAAGTCTTTGTCTCCTTTGGGTTTGAGTACCACTAAAATAGAAATTAGTTATGCAACTAGATTCCTATTTTAGAGGTAGTGAAATAAAGAACTTACTCTTTTACTATTTTCTGTGAGAGTTATCCAAAACAGGAAGATGGCTTTATCTCTTTCTTGATAAAACGTACTGCGTTAATATCAAGAAAGAGATAGGAAGACCACTCTCTGAAAAATCCACAACTTGAAAAACTTGAGGTTGAATTGATTTCTTGAGGTTGAATTGATTTCTCTTGAAAAACTTGAGGTTGAATTGATTTCTTTCCAGAAGAAACTAACTTGGCTTGTAGGGTAGACTGTGACGAAAATTAGAAAGAAAAGAAAGGAGGTGAGCAGTAAAAAAATTCACCGGCAGGACCGGGCGAGCTGAGGGTCGCGTTCCTTTTACTGCGTTGGTTCTTTTTCTTCCTTTCTGTGTCCGGGCAGCTATTCTGCCGTTCACTTCCGGGTATTTATACTACCTACGCGTCTATTCTCTTGCCAACAGACTCTCCTCTTTGCAAACCTTTGCTGATAATCTCAAAGGATTGCATTATCAGTAATGTCGTTGGGAGAGATGCACTGTAGGTTGACGTCTGAAATAATCAAATACTACCGTTTTCAGTGCGGTTTAATTATTTAGATGTATTTTGTCGAACTGTATACGTCACCGTCGACTCCCAAATTTCAATAGTTAACGCACTTCTTGCTTATTTGAATGGGGTTTAAATCTTTTAGAATTGCAAAAAGCATTACAGAAAGTTGGAGCACAAGATTAATTTTAAGTCGATTGGTTATTTCTTTAATGAGCATGACCATTTTTTAGGAAACGTAATATAAACAACCAACCACAAGGGAGCAGGCACCATTTATTGACGTGATTGCGTGATTGCGTGATTGCCAATCACCATGAATGGAATGGCCCTTAGTGTAGAGGAAGACAGATCACGAGTAAAGATGAGGCCATCGTTCCTGCACCACACTCATCATCGCCCGTCCTGGCGGCGCGGACGTCCCCGGCCTCCTACACCGCTCAGCTCCTCATCATCGCCCGTCCTGGCGACTCGGACGTCCTCGCGGCAACGTGGGAGCCCCACCACACCATGCTGCCGATTGCGAAGCGTTCGCGCTCCCTGCTGTTCCTTCTCCTGCCGACGCTGCTGATCGCTCTTCTGACAGTCCGCCGCCTTCTCCTCTCCCCGCCGCCGATCGCCTCCGCCCATGCGCCGCTCGCCCGGTCACCCGCGGCCGCCGCGGCCTCCGACGCCGCGCAGCGCGTCACCCTGTGGCTCCCGCCCTCCGCGTGCACCGGCGCCTGGCAGACGCAACCCGCGCGCGACTCCCCGATCGGCTTCCCGTACGCCGTCGTGCGCGACGCCGTCTTCGATCGCCGCCCGCGCGCGCGCGCAGTCCTCGGCAAGCGCGACCGCACCGGCGCCGTCCGAATCGTGCTGTACGTCACCGCGCATCTTTCCGCCCGTCTCACCAGCCGGAACGCGACCATCGACCCTGCGGACGCGCTCGGGTTGGTCGGCGACGTTGAGTACGTCACCTGGGTGAACAGCATGATCGTGCCCAAGGTCAAGGGCAGATACTATGCTGGCATGAAGACAAGATACGGCGCCGAAGTCTCCGCCTGGCAAGTCGGCCTGCGCTTGGACGCCGTCAACGGCTCCACCGCGCAGGTCGTGCAGGACGCCATTGATGGCGACGAGCGTCTTGTCGTGCGCCTGCCCATTATTCGGTTTGACGAGGCCGTCATTCCGCTCGTGGTGAACATGTCCATGCGCTGCGTCACGGGCTGGACGATCCCCGGCCTGGATGGCGTCGCGGAAACTTGCGGCCCCGTCGGGGAGAAGGCCGCCAACGCGAAGGGCTCCATCCTGTTTAGCGGCAGCGCCCTGTACGGCGTGAAGAAACGCGATGACGCCCACTTGCGCGAGGTCGCCAACTTTGCGGCGCGCGGTCTACTGGGGCCGCTGCGCTTCGACTACGTCGCGATGAGCGTGGTCAGCGACGTCTCGGCGAGCGACATGGAGCTGATGTGCGGCAAGGACCTCGCCTGCTGGAAGCGCCAAGAGGCCGTGAACGAGGCGCTGCTGCGCCGGATGCGCGACGTGGCCGAGGAAGAGATGCGCGCTATCGGCGTGCCACAAGCGCTGTTCCCCCGCCTGCTCCTCATTCCGGCATGTCGCCTGGGCACAGACGCAGCGCGCTCGGAGAAAGGCGACCCGTGCGCAGTTGGTAAGCGCTACGGCCAGTACCACGCCACCTTCTTTTCGTACACCATCTTGGCCCCCTTCTTCAAGTGGGCTGCCAGTCACGACATGGACGAGTACTTCTCCGCTGTGCCGGCGCGCGGCTCTGCAGTGCGTCCGGCGCCGGCCGCCGCCGCGCTGGACGCCGCGAACGCCGCGCGCGGCGCAAGCGGCGCACTCACGTTTGGATGGCTTAACATGCGCGTCGCATCGGTTAATGCAACGCGCACCCTGTCGCAAGGGCTTGTGCGCGGTCGCACGGCACGCCTGCGATACCGAGATGCGGCGTTAGGGTCGCGCGAGTGCGTGGCCGCCAAGCGCCGCACGGGGAAGAGCGCCGTGCGGTGCGATGTCGGGCTCGGGTTCACGATACACCACCCCGTCGTGGCGCACGAGAAGTACGGAGTCGGCGAGATCAAACAGGGCATGGAGCTTGGCGCGCTGCGCACGTGGCATGCGAGGCTAAAGTCAGCGAGTGGTGATTGCGACTATATTGAGGAGGGCGGAGGCGAGGACGACAAGGGGGAAGTTTTGTTAAATGTTGATTAGAGGCTGATTCTTCCGGCAGTGACGATGGGGATGCGTGCTGTGTACGTGCGGTATCCCAGATGTCATAGCGAGCACACTGGTTGAAGGAAGCGATGGTAGTACTTCACTTTGTTCATTGGAAGGAAGGGCGGTATTTAGCTCCAGGTCAGGAAAGCGACGTAGCATGTGTCTAACTCTTGTTTTAAAGAACGAAATAGCAGTGAATGGCTTTTTCCTGTAGTACCACCGTGAGCATACTCATCCCCCTTCTTCATTCCATCATCGCTGCAACGAAGCGATAAACACCTTTCAGCGAATTGTCCTCAAACCTCTCCTGCACCGCAAACTTATGTGACTTGCTTCCAGCTTGAGTCTTCCTCATTTCTTTGTCCGCCTGTTCTCGCATCCTCCATCCAGTAGGCCGCGTGCCCCTCGCTCAGCCAGGTTTTCATCGAACAGCCCGCCTCCTCCTTGGCAAAATTCCAGCCACAAAACCCCCCCTCATACCAGAGCGCCTTCATCAGCGAGCCCTCTTCCATCTTCTCGGCGCGCACGACACATTCCGCATGGAACCTATCTCCCGACTGGAATGCCGAAGGCTAATCCTCCAATCCAGATACAGCTACAATACCCTTCCGCAGCTTCCTTTCCTAACTCTGCGTGCCCCAGCAATAATGCAATGTAAACGGAACTTTTCAGGGATCCCTTGTATGAAATAGTCGCTCCAACTTGAAATATGACCGCAACTAACGCTATATATGAAAGGCTATCGTTCTTTGTCTTTTCTCGATTGATTGACAGGTTCGATCTGCGACGGCAGACGCCTCAGCCCATCCCTCACACGGAGCGCTACCTTGTAATCGTAATATAAATGATCCTTTATTCGTAGGAGCAGCAAGCCCCTGGAGTGATACCAAGCGCATCGGTAGAGAGACGACAGCCCGGCCTCCGGATCATGAGTTGATAGCCGCACTAGTGTCGGCGGTACAAACACAAGGGCATTGCCATCTGCACCACGGTAGCAGAAAGTCGCCTATCCAAACACAGCTCCATCAGCATCGTGGAAATGCATGTAGCGATGCAACCAAGCGCTCACTACCCAGCACTCTTTCTGCTGCGTTCCTGAGTGATCTTTTCAATTATCAATTATCAATGAATGTATTAAAACAATGCCTTTTGTAGACTGGCCACAGCCTGGCGGCTGTCGTATCGCGCAGAACACGTAGTGTTCAAAAGACTCTCAATAGACTGCTTCGATGAAATAAACGTAGGTGCAGTGTTACGGTAGACGAGGGGAGGTTAAATAACATCTGCTTTTTAAATTGTCATTCTAGTATTTAGAAGTAGATGTTTGAATTCAACTCCTTGTTATTGCTGCAGAGAAATTACCTCGGCGCTAAACTGAAGCCATTCCAGATGCTCTAGAGTGCCGCGGGGTTCAGTCCGAGAACCGATTCTGCCTTCTCAACGTATGTAGCGCCCTCAACTTCAATTCCATACACAGTGAGGTACCTAGAATCCGGCTCGAGGTGATCCTTGGAGTAAGCGTAGAACTGTTTCCCGTCGCGACTAGGAATCAACCTTACAATCATGTTTCCAAGCCCGCCCCTGGAGACAGACGCCCCACCACCGATGAACGACCATCCCTGCGTCGAAAAAACTGTGCCATACGGATGCTGACGGGGACCGAATCGCTGCGACTTTGTCCGATAGAACAACTGTCCACCGTTCCTATGCTTAATGCCAATGGCGTACGTCACAATCCTAGACGGCGCACTCTTCAAGTGATCTTTCGAGGATCCTGTCCACGACGACGACGACGATGGGTACGAGTCCACCAGCATGTTTCCGGGCTCGATATATCGCACGTCTGCTCCTCCTCCGACCAATATGTATTCATACGGGAGTGTCGCAGTCGCGATTGGATGAGCGGCTACCCCTGATGTACTTGTTGCAATCCGCACGTCCCATACGTTGCTAGGGTCCCAGATGGCAATCGCGAAAGCCTGGATTTGCCCAGGATCACTCTTCAAATGGTCTTTTGATTCGACCATCCACCCAATCGGTGTACCGCGACTTAAAAGTGGGTACGACTTAGCTAGCAGCTGCCCAACTCCATAATAACGCACATCGGCACCGCCGCTCACCACCTTCCAGCCCCGCGGCACGTAAACATGTGCCTGCGGATGCGGCACACGTGGCATTGCTTCAATCGGCGCACTCTCAAATCGCTTCAAAATGATCGACCGTGCCCCAAACACCTGCTCGTAATACAATCGCACCCGGTTCGCCTGGTTGCCGTCAGCGATTAGCGTCCAGATTGGAACAGAACCACCGTCCAGAAACTTAATCGTTTGCGCGTTCGTTGCAGTAGACGCGACCCAATTTTGCTCTCCGGCAGATCCAACTTGAAGCGTTCCTCCTCTGATGATGAGGCCCTCCGAAGTTTGAACACGCTCAGCCTTCCGACGTTCCTCGACACTGAGTGAAGCTGAACCTTTGACGAGCTTGAGGTAGCTCGCATCAACAGATAACGAGTAATCAGTCTTCGAGCTAAACTGTGACTTATGGCTTGAGGACCATAGCTCCAGCATACCACCAGCCACTACTCCCGTTGTCACGTGGGTGCCGTATGTAGCGAAGATCGACTGCGGTGACCACGTCGCCAGATTATGCGCAACACCTGGAATGACGAGTTGCTGGAGTTCTGTTGTCTGGGTCGTGGTGATTCGAAGGTGGGCCCTCTCAACGATATTAGCCAGGCGAGAATAATAATAATCCGTTCGTCCGGTACGTTCAGAATTGAAATGGCTTTCGATGTTTGCTTTGAAGTTTCCAAACCCACCACCGATCGAAACTGATGACTTCAAAGTGGTTGCAAACTCATTGAATCCCTCGGAAACGTGCATTTCACGTTGAGTATTGTCGAAGAAGAGGGGGTCCACTTTTTCTCGGACTTGAAAGCCATTGACGGTCTTCAGTGCGCCTAAATCGAGAACCCTAGATCGAAGACGATTGGTGTCAAATGTGCCGTCGTAGTTGGAAAATCCATGACCCAGGGTGTCCAGGATGTCCGCTGCTTGAGCAGAAAAAAAGAAGAGGCCGAGTAGGGCAAAGCGTGCAATTAGCGATGGTAAAACCATCACGATTGTCTTTTTGAATAGACCGCTGCGAAAACCCTTTGCCGAGGTAAGGATAGATGAAGATGTTTTCCATGACTGGTAGAATAGAGACCTTATATAGAGAGGAAGCTCCACAGTGATGGTAACTAAATGCTATGTATGCAGCGGAATGCGTCTGCGTCACCTACACAAGAAAATTGGTGTTGTGTCGCTTGAAGTTTGGCTCAGGAGGATCTGCCCACGTCACCTCAATGTGAGTGTCGTATCTTACACGTGTACATAGCACTCCCACCGTACTTAACACCGTCGTCGCTCATGTCCCCAGTAAAGACAACCCCAGGTCTTGAGTCTCTCCCACAGTGAGCAATGGTGAACGAGGGGACTAGGGAGGTCACACTCCACAACCAAAGAACTGTCCACGTATAATACATGCGTGTGAAATGGTGTCAATAGAGCCAAACCGAGAGTGATGATGAAATGCGCAAAAACAAATAAAAATAATAGTATCTGTCAGTAGATGCGCACGTACAGTAGAAAACCAGTTCGCGCGCACCAAATTCATATCTACACAGTAAAATCGTAATTCACTAGGAAATGCGCAATACAGCACCTTCACCGCATTTATTGATTTTAAAATCAAAGAGAACACAATGCATTACCCGTACAGTACTCTAAAACAAACCACGTAAATGGAAGGAGATGCGCACGTAACACCTCCCTACTCCGTGTCACTGTCATCAAAAAGTGCACGACGCGTGCCACTAGACATGCGAACGCGGCGATTTTCTGTGTTTTCAAAATGTAACTGTACGGCTCCTTATTCGGTTTTTTCCGTTACGTTCTTCCTGCGAAATGTATTTTTATTGATAAAGTATCGATAAATCCATCGATTGCCTTCAAACAAAGCACCAAAGAAATCGCAAGAGACGCTTTTATTGACACATGCCATTGCAGAGGTTGTTTATTGCTTGGAAGGGTTAGGAAAATTGACAGAAAGAGCACTCCATTTCAAGCTCATTTGCCGAGAAGTGCATAATTCGGCGAAAAATCATATCATATTTCAGTCGCCGTGGCCCATGCGTAATCAACTCACTGACCCGTATTTAGGGCGTGCACTGCTCGCTGCCGAGCGACATGGCGACGAGATGCACGAGTCTCATGCAGTCGAGACCGGACGATCATCCGCTCCGGACGAACTGCAAGTAGGTGACGCAGTTCTGCACGACTGCAGGTCACGTCAACATCCGCATGAGCACCAGATCTTATCGCTTGACGACGCTCAGCCCTTTTCCTCAGTGCATCTAAAACTGAAGCAGCAGTCAGATGGGCCCCTGTCGTTTTGTCTCTGCGAATTGTTCCTGACTCCGCAATATCAGCTTCACGAAGCAAACTGCGTCCCGCGAGTGTGAAGGATGTGGTACAACTCCACACCGCGACCCCCGGCGGGAGATGAGAACCGCCGAGACGGGCGGTTACTACTGTAGTAATCGTGCACGCGCCCTCTGCGAGCACAGTAGTACCTCCACGGCGTACACGTGACACAACCGTTGGCGCCGGTCGTGGCCACGGGCACACGTGTGCGACCCATCCGGTAAGTAATTAGCAATTAGTGGTTAATGGCACAAATTAGCCAATTTAGTACAGTAGCTGGTATACAGTATGTAACAGCTACTGTAGCGGGACAGGTGTCCTGGCGTCCCACTTAGGGGTTAAGACCAGGGGCACCTGCCCCGTTCCAGTAAACGGGGGCAGACTCGCCTCCATTTCCTTTACGGCTAAGTGCTAACACCGTTCCGGTTTTCCTTTAGCTCAGGCCTCTAACCCGTGACCGGCCGTCCGGATCTGACACCACCGACCGGCTGCGCGTCACCGGCCACGTGAGCCTTCCCTCTTTTCGAGTCCTTCCGTACGGTTCGCGCTCGCGTGGGTTACCCAGCGTCGCGCGCTCCCTTGCCTCTAACCCCCCTCGTTCCGAGTGGTCGGGACGAAGGAAGTTATACCACATTTTGGTACTCTTGTGGAGGGTATAACTACAGAGGTTGAGCCCGCACTGGATCGCCAGCGCGAGCAACTACCGATCGGATTGAAAGAGGTCGAAAATCACCGCGTCGATCGCCAGTGATCATCGACGATGAACCGTGCGGATTCCGCCGGAGAAGATACCGCCTCCGGGCGAGCAAGTACCCGCAGTGGCAGAGGCGCACAGCGCCCCCGGATCGACAATCCGGAAGCCCTGCTACGCCCGCCGTCTACCAGGGGCCAGAAGACCCCTTCCGTTTCGGACACCACCGCCGGGCTACCGGCTGGTGGGGGGAACCGCGTACAAGTACTGTACGACGCGTTACTCCCGCGACTACAAACCTGGATGGAGGATTTCCTCGCTGAGGAACTACCTCAGGTCGTCCAGGTTTGCCTCGACCGAACGGCACCAAGACTGGTGGCGGAGCATGCGGACACCGCGCTCCACGCCCTGCTGGACGAGAAGATCGCCCCCCTCGTACGCGACGAGGTGGTGGCAGCGCTCGCCGCGGAGGAGGACGAATCTCCGACCGCATTGGCTCTAAAGGGAGCTATTAGCTCCGCCGTGGCCATCCGTCTGGCCACGACATTTACCGAAACGGGAGGCGCGGTACCGCCGCCGGCGCCGCGCCGTGAAACCGTTCCGGGCTCAAGCTTTAATATCGCTGATCCGATCGGCGCCGTACCCGGGATTGATAGGATGGACCCTCACCCGGAGGGCAGAGCCATCTATCTCCCAACCGTTCACGGTGCTACAGGGAGGACCACAGAAAATGTCCTCCCCATACTCGCCGGTACGGGCGACCCCCGCGGGACAGACAACCGCCTGGGGCTCCCCGAGACAGAGAATCGAGGCCCGTACCGGTTGAGCAGAAGACGTGCACCCGGCACGCACAGGACCGAAGCGGAATACACCCGGTATTCCGACGCAGAAGACCCCCGTCACAGGACGGATGAAGACCGCGAGGAACGCCGCTGGCGATACCGCGATAACCGCGAGGCACGCCACGGGCGATACCGCGATGCCGGAGGGGGAGGATACCCCTCCGATGATGACCCATCCGGTTCGGAAGACTCTTGCAGGCGGGGCCACAGGGCACGCCGCGATAGAAGCCGAGACCGGCACCGGCACGACCCGTCCGACTCGGAAGACTACCACACCGAGTCGGATGAGGGGCTTCGTCGCTCGAGCAGACGCCGCCGGGCTGCCCCGACGAGCGACGAGCGACGGCCCACGGTAATCAGGCCCCTCAATGACCTGTTTACCAAGGCCGTCAACTACAAGACCTACCGCCTGGAACGGCGTAGCTCGCGCTACGACTCCACAGTAGCGCGGCACATTAACCGTTACCGGAAAAAACTGGACGTGCAGATGAGGTCCCACACGTTCAGCGGTCAAGATCCGATTGCGGTATTGGGATTCCTCGCACGCCTCAAGATGGCGTGCGACCACAACGGGATCACCGAGGGAGCCGCCGTGTGGTGCTTCCAGTTCTACCTCACCGGTCAGGCTCACGCCCTACTCCAGTCCCGTCTCAATGGAAATACCATGGCGGTTGACGTGGAGCGGCGCGAACTGCTCAGGACGTACCCGCAGGTCGTCAACTTTTTGTTGCGTACCTATGCGACCGATGAGGTAATTTCCGAAGCGGTTGGTGACGTGACCTCCTTCCGTCAAAGTTCGAACATGACGGAGGAGGTCTACAGTAACCACCTCTGGGACAAGGCCCTCCGATGCGGTACGGTATTCTCCGACCGGCGGTTGAAGTCCCTATTCGTCGAGGGGTTACTTCCCGCCACGTGCGCGCAGGTCCGCAATTACCTCGCTACGCACCCGGATGTGGATTACCAATCCGTCGCTCGCTATGCGCAAGCGATCGGGGAAACCAATCGGGCTTCCCGTCGACAGGGGATGTCCGCCATGGCGCACCGAGAACCGCCCAGAGCGGCTAGAAGATCTGACCGCACCGCAAGGACGAGGCCCGTGCTGTCGGTTGAGTCGGCATCCGACATCCCGACGGCTGGGGGATTTGCTGAAGAAGCAATCCTGGCCGTGACGGACCAAACCGCCACGCCGACCTCGATGAGCTCGCCACCGACGAGTTACTATCCGTCGCCGGCAGCTTCGACGGCGGGCGCCCCGGTGCCGCCCGCCAACCCTGGCGACGTGCGCACAGGACCGTACGGGAGGCAAGGGCAGGATCCACGCGTCCGGTTCTCCGGCGGGAGATTTCCCGGACCGCCACCGTGCCGGTTCTGCCTGGACACCACGCACCGACAAGAGGGGTGCCCCGTCGTTGCCGATGCGGGCCTGCGGGCCAAGCTTCTGGAGGCACGAGAGGCCAACTACCAGAAGCTACGCATCCGGCAAGGCCTCCGCCCGGGATCCCCGTTCAACCGCCAGGGGCCGTCCGCTTGGCGAAACCAGCGTCAAACGGCCCCCGCGGGCGTCAACGTGGTCGAGGAACCGCACCTCGACCACACCGAGGACCCCGTGGCGCAAACCGCGGATGAAACCCGCGAGGACTTGCTGCTGACGGGGGAAGCCGGGGAGGACGCGTAGAGGCGACGACGTCTCTCCCCGTGCCCAGCCTCAGAAGCTTAGGCACCCCCGATCCGGCTGCGCCAGTGGAAGCGCAGCCGGGTAACCGAACGGAAGTCCAGGCCATCTGCTTCTTCAAGAAGCAGAATTACAAGATCTCCGCGACGATTGGTCAGAAGCAGGCGTTGATGGTCGCCATCACACCAGTGCTGGACTCAGGAGCCGG